TTCCCCTTCCCCTTCCCCTTCCCCTTCCCACCCTCCGCCCAGAAACACAGCACCCAGAGCCCCCTGCTGCCTTTCGCCCCCTGTTTGTCCCCCTCTGGGGCCTGACCCAGGCTGGGCTCTGGGCTCCTCTGTCTCCTTTGCCCCTGTGGCTGTAGCAGATTGCACCAACAACAGTCGGAAAGGTTGTCTTCTCGCGGTGGCACCCACCCAGGCAAGGAGGTTCGGGATGGCACCCACCCCCGCGAGCGCACCCAGACGGCTGCAGCCTTCGCTGGGGAGGGGGATTCGCCCCCGACGCCGTTGTTGCTTGGAGAGCTCAGTCAAATGAGCCCAGAACGAGCCGGCTCTGACCTTCTGGTGGTGCTTCCAGGTACTGCATCACCGACGAGCGCCAGAGGTCGGCAAGCCCCCATCTCCTGCACGTCGTGCTGATCACCAAAGTCCCACGGGTCCTGGGAGGGTGCAGCTACCTGGCTTTTGACAGTGGTAAGCTTACGCTCGCTGCTGTGAGCCAGGAAAGGGGTGGGAGGGGAAGATGAAGACGCGCAGACGAGGCATGTGACGTGGTAAATCTTCCACCTCTCACTGTCTTCCTGTCCTGGTTGGTTGCTAAATCCGAGCAGCGCAGCTCATTGGTTGTCCAAGTGGCCAATGCACCAAAAGAATGCCAATGGACTGAGCTGTCCTCTTGCCTCTCCAGGTGAGTGGAAGTCCATCCACTTGGATGACCTGATGCCCCCAGAGAACTTTCAGGCCAATCTCGGCCAGCTCTCCACAATGACCATCGCTGAGATTTTCACGAGCAGCTCCCTGCTGCAGCTCCCAACAGGTAAGAAGCTTCTCGCCACGACCCCACTATCTCCCTGCTGCTGTCCCTTCAGAAACCTGCTCCCCCGTCCTCCGATGTCGGGGTGGGAACGCGGCCGGATCAAGCAGGTCCCAAGCTGCGGGTCCCAGGAGCCTTTGCTGCTCCTGAGATCTTTGTAGCAACGCAACCTTTGCCTCCTGATGGGCGGACTGTGGTGGTGGAGCAGCAGTGGATGATGGAAAGCTAGCTGTGCTGCTGGAGACCTCCATACGCAGTCAACACATGCTTTTTGACCCCCGTTCTTCGACTAGATGGCTGTGCCAACAGGGCAGAAATGGTTTGACCCACCATCGCAAGCCAACTCTGGGTGGCTCCTTGAATCCGTGTTCTTGCTTAGAGCCAATTTCTCCCCAACCTCCAGGATCTCCAGACATCAAGAAGCTGACACCAAGCAGTCGAGTGGCTTCCCCCTCCCAGTGCTGCTTTATTTCTCCTTGTTGATTGTCCCGGCCCTCCCAACACCTCCTGCGGATGGAAACGTCTCTTGTTGGGGTTTTGACCGCTGAGTCGCGTGGTTGATTGTGATTTCAGGTTCTCCAGAGGATTCTGCTGCCCTGGGAACCCTCACCGAACCTGGCCTTTACCCAGAGGAAAACGTATGGTTTTTTTTTTTTCTTCTTTTTTCTCCTCATTTTAGTTACTTGTCATGCAAGAACTGCCTTGGGTATCAACAGACATTTGGGCTCTGCTTTGGAAGGTCCTTGCTTGGGCTGGTCCCTTATCACAGGGACGAATATCTGCAAATCTTCCTGGGTCATGCTGTGAGGTTGAAGTAGGGTGGTGGTCTCCCAGCTCCGCTGTGAGTGACTGGCACAAGACCGGGAGCTTTTTGTCCACAAAGCAGTGTCCCTCACTGGGGACATCAGCAGCCCTCCACACCCTGGGGACTGACTTAACCTGGGTTTGTTGGGGTGGTGAGGTGCGTACAGACCTCAGAGCCCACCTTGCTAATTTCTGGAGAAGATGAATCGATGTCCTGGGACAAGCGTCCCCAGGCAAATGAGAGCAAAATAGCGTCGAGCAACCAACTGACCTCTGGTCTTTTCCAGCCACAGTTCCTCAACGTGGACGCGATGATCAAAGGGAGCATCCAGAAGGCCGTGATCCAGCTGGAGGACAAGAAGGACAACAGCAAGCGTCCAACGGAGAGAATCAAGATCCTGCACAACTTGCTTTTCCACTCTCAGAGTAGCGGTACGTGTGAGTAACGAGAACTAGAAGTGGCTCCTTGCACGTTGCAAGCTGTATGGGTGGAAGGTGACAATGAACAGGTTAAGAGCCAGTTCTGGTGTCCCTCAAAGCCATCGTGGGTGGAGAAACACCCAAGAGACAGAGGGCGAGGTTGTGTGGGCCCTCCTTCACCTCCCCTGCCCAGTCCCTCATGGTCAGAATCTGTGCTGAACCACAAATCTTTGATGCAGACCCTGGCAGATGACCCCAGACAGACGTCCCTTGCCAGTGGAAGTCGATTTCTGCACGGGACCAATTAAAAGATAATATCGAGTGGTGTGATTTTTGAGTGGAAAACTCAAAAATGAGTGGCAATCAAAATCCCTTGCAGGATTTTCGTGGAGTCTCCTGCTTGGAGACGAGCTCCAGGAAGGTTTTAACCAATGCTGTTTTGTGATCAGTTTCCAGCCACTTTATGACCATCCTGAAGAAGAGAATTTGTGGCCTCCTCCAAGAACGAGAGAAACCCATTCAAGAGCCAAGGGGGTGGATTTACCGCAGGGCGCTCTCGATCGAGTTCATCCTGGAAGACACATCATTCAGGTAGCGCTGGCTGTGGGCTGTCTTCCTAATGTCGAGTAGTTCTGGTCTTCAAACTGCTCTGCGTGAAGTAGGAGGCGCCTTGCATGAAGACCAAGATGTGACAACCAAGAAGTTGTCAAAAGATGTGGGGTTTTTACCAGCCTAGGACAAGGTAGGGGCTTGCTGAAAGGTCTTAGTCTGGAAAGCACAAAATTAATTAAGAGTACCGCTAATTTTGAGGAAGCTCCTTTTAGAAGGGCTTTTCTGGAAGCAAGCAACATTGGTCAACAGAGAGATAGACAAGGACAGTTAGGGTCAAGCCTGGATGTCCGCGTTTGGCATCTTCAGACGCGGTAGGGTTGCTCTGGTTGACTCGTGGGTCTTCAAGATGGACGCTGTCCCCTGGGCAGAGGAGGGTTTCTTGGTGGGAAGCGATGTAATGAGCCACGATGTCTGCTTTCTTTTCAGGCAAGCGCTCTGGATGCACCTGGAAGACCTCGTGGCAAACGTCTTTGCCCAAATTCTCGCCGTGGTGGATGCCAACAACAACCTGGATCACATCGCCCAAGGCTCTCCACTGGCGGAACTGTGGCTCCAGATGTTCCAAGAAGAAACATTCCTAAAAATTAAATACACCAGGAAGTAAGAGGCGGGGCTTAAATGTCCAGTGAGGTGGTTTTCCTTAGGAGAGTAGAAGCTCGTTGTGAAGCTGTAGCTCATGCTTGAGGTGCAGATGTTTATAACCCAGCCATGGAAGGTCTTGGGTGTCAAGACACCAGCGCTGAAACTCCCGTGTTATTTTAAACTGTCGGTGACATTGTCTCCTTCCCTCAGTTTTCCCTGTTCCTCACTTTCTTATCCAATTTCTCCCCAGATTTCTGAACCCTTTTAAAGAGAAGATGTGTCGGCGGGAGTCAGGAACTTCTCAGGGGCGGTCCATCTCTGGACACCTACGGTCTGTTGCCCAATTTAACGCTGCTTTCTGTGCTTTTCAAATTCCAGGGCGGCAGACGCAAAGATTTCCGTGTTATCAATGACCGAAGACCCCAACACCTCCCTCTGCTGCCAGTTCCCCTTCAGCTGGGTTTTGAAAGCCTACCTGGATGACATCTGGGAGAAGGTCTACCAGATGAAAGGTACCATCAGACTTTGCAGAGGCAGCTTTAACCCAGCAAAGCTGCCAAAAATCCACTTCCTAAGTAGGAGGAACCACGTGGGGCTGTGTTCCTCTCTGAGATGACCCAGGGCTGCTTTGTGCACCTCCTCGGCATTGTATCTCCTCTTGCGTTGTGCCCCTTCACCCATGGCCTTGCACTCAGCCACAAGTCCACCTCGGTCATAACGAGGAGCTCCCATTTTCTGCTAAGCGGCCATAACTCTCTTCTCTTGTCCCTTCTAGATCAACCCGTGCAGCCAACGGAAGAAGTGACCAGATTCTACCAAAGCTTCATCAAGAACGTCTTGATGCCAGAAGGCAGCAACCTGGATGTGCTCCGCTGTTATGCCAACGATTTCCTCAGGATGGCTTTTCCCGGGCAAGACCTTGCTGTCTATGAGGTGACTAGGGTTGGGCAGAGCACCATCTTCAGTTGGCGTTGGCTTTGGCCCTCGTCCTGTCCTCCCTGGCCACATCTGGTGGTCTTGATCAGCCCTCCCTCGCGCTGCTCTGCAGCTGCTCCTCAGCTGTTAGGAACCTTCTGCCTCAGCGCCACTTTAAGAAGTATTTTTGATGGGGAAACTTCACGTGGGATGTCACGGCAGCGCTGAGCACCCCACCTTAGTCCCCTTGCTGGTTGCTTAGAGCAGAAATAACACTTTTCCTTTTACCCGCAGATTCTAGCAAAAGTTTTCCTCGCCAGCGCAGAGCGACTCTGCTCCTCTGTGGGCGGGGCGAAGATGGACTTTTCCCCGATTTGGCTTCACATGGAATATTTCTACCTCCGGGACGATTATCAGCTCTTTGTTGACATAGCAAAAAGCAACGACGCTGTCATAAGCGAGCTGCAGGCAACGTATGAGAGGAACCCCCCGGAAATGGTGAGCAAAGGGCTGTGTTTGCCCTCTGACCCTTCTCCTCCAGCATTTGAGCACGACGGTCTTCCCATCCTCCATCGTTTCATTGCGCACCGTGTAATTAGTAACTCATCCTTATGTTTGTGTCACTCTGGGTATCACGTTGAAGCCCTCTTTGATGCTTTGACCCTAGAGGTGGGTGGGATTCGTGTGTCACCCTTCAGTGGTGGGCTACAGCTCCTGGGCTTGCCCTGTGGAGATGTCCCCATCCCTCCTAAGATGCTTTGTTGCTTGGAGCACCAAGCTCAGATTTTCAGTGAACTCCCCGTGGTGACCCCAAGATCCTTCTTGCTCCAAGGTGCGGTTAGACTCATTCAAGACCTTCTTGGCTTACAGATATCTCCACCCGTGAAAATCCATTTCTTTCCAATGCAGCTCTACTGAATACTCCAAAAGCTGTACCAGCACCTAGTCATGCGCTATCCCTTCCCTCTGTGCCACCCACCAGCGAGGTCAGCTCTAACGGGACTCCTGCTTTCTCTGTCTTTGTCCTTGCAGTTTGTCACCCTCGATGCCTTGAACATTCTCCTGAAGAAAGTGCAGCCCTCGGAAAACAAGCTTTTGCCCTTTGATGCCTGTGTGGGGTGGCTCAAAAGCGTCAAGTCCATTAAGCCCTGGGTCGAGTGGATCAGTCGGGACAACTACCAGCTTCGGTTCTACCAGAATAAGAAGAAGCTCCTGGAGAGTGTGTTGTAAGTTGAGTCACTCTCTGCTGACAGTAGTGCAAGCAAACTTTTTGACATAGAATCATAGAATCACAGAAAGTTTTGGGTCGGAAGGGACCCCTAGAGGTCATCTAGTCCAACCCCCCCGCAGCGAGCAGGGACACCGCTAACGAGATCAGGGTGCTCAGAGCCCTGTCCAACCTGGTCTGGAATGTTTCCAGGGATG